GACGTGGGCAGCTGGTGATATAGCGCGGCGCGCTGGCGCGGGCCTCCAATCCCCAGACCCCGGGTAGCCCATTTGAATAATCAGCTCACACCTAGGTGAGAAGGAGCCCCGGCCGGCGCCCCGCACCTGCCCCTCTGCGCCCTCCCTCCGCCGCCGCTGCGCCCCGCACTCCCAGGCGGCCCTCGGGCTAGAGGGCGCTCGGGCGCCCTGGGTGAAGCCCCCTTTCCTCCGGGTCCACAGGGAGTTCCCTGTGGAAAGAGGGACCTGGGAGGAGGCCACGCTCAGGAGCAGCTCCGGGCTCTGGCCCCTGCCCACTCCCATAGCGCTGGGCGCCGCGTGCTGCTGTCGGAGGGCACGTCTGGCCTCTGTGCCCGGCAGAACCTTAATAAAGCCGGATTGATCTCTCCCGAGTTTCTTTGCTGTCGGTGCACATTCCCTGTCAAAACAACAAGCCAGTGACAGAGCCAATTTGCAAAGCGCCGTCGTATTTAGAAAAACTGTGTACACACCTTTAACTCGCCCGCCGCTGTCCTGGGAGGCCCCTCCCAGTTACAGTTAAGATCTGGCGCGCCCCGGAAGGCACCGGGCGCCGGGTGCCGCCGCCTCGGCTTTGGGCCTCCTTGGAGCCCAGCCGCCCGCGACTCTCGGTGGGGCGGCGGGGCGCTCGCAGCCCCGTTAGCTGCAGCCTAAGGTTAGGAGGCTGCGATTTGTCTCTGACATTCAGGCCGGCGTGTTTCAAGGTTACTTTTCAGTCACAACCAAGGTGCCCAACAGCATTTCGTAACTAAAACAAACAGGGCGGGGGCAGGCACGGGGAGGGAGAGAGGAGTGGAGGAGTCAATACCGGGCTGTGGAACTGACCTCAGGAGGGTCTCCGCGCTCTCTGACTTCCAAAGGGGCTGGCTGGTAAGAATTATCACCAGCAGCCTTGTATTTCTTTGAACCCCTCAGCTCTTGGGTTCATACATTGCAGCCACCAATACCTCAGTGGATAGGCTGAGGGGGATGTTACCGGTGTTTGGATATGGAAGCTCTTTTTTGGTACTGAAAACCTGGTGGATCGTGGGGATCCAGCCCTGTACTGGATCTCAAAAAAGGAGCTTCCCAGAGATGGGGGAAGGGGAAAGGAAAAGAAATAGTGGGTCTCTGGCCCACCTGTCTAGAATGGGGGTGATGGTGGCAGGCACAGAGCTGAGCATTGTAAGCAGAAGGCCCGGTAAGGGTCAGGCTGGAAGACAAGCCGGAAGATGCAGGGGAACTACCTCCCCCAGCCCCTGTCCTCTGGGGTCTACAGGGTTTTGAACAGAAGAAGCCGTGGGAGGCAACCTCTGCTGCTGAACGCGAATGTTTCGGACACTTCATAGCTTGCGCACTCATGAGCCGGCTACGCTGGGCAAATGCCAGCCCGAGGTCCCCCAAAGTCAAGGTCTTGGCCTCTTGGGAAGCTGGGCGCGCTCAGCCCAGACGCTGAGTTGTCGGGGAGGGCCGTGATGGGGTGTCAAGCCCGCGCTGCGAACCGGAAGCGTGCGCAGGAGAGTCTGAGCAGCCACATCCCAGTTTTTCCCACTGGGCCCCCCCAGAGCATGGGTAGGAACAACTTCACGGCTCTTTAGAGGGCTTGGTAAAGAGGGGTACACACTGGAACTCAAAATAGGAGTCGTCTTCACAGGCAGGGCAGACACACAGACCCCCCAATACATCATCGACTCCTTCTTCCTTCCCACCCAGCACTTCTTCCATTCAGTAGAAAAGAAATATCAAAACAGACTGACTCTCAAAAACAACAACAAACAGGCAGTTTTCTGGTGTGAATGGTTTGAAAACCTCAAGGAATTTCTGGTCTCCCTCGTCTGTGCGTGGTGTCTTGTATGCGAGCTTACGTGCGTGTCTACTCATGCGCTTTCCTGGTTTTGCTCCTGGTTGAAAATGCGATCCTAGAAATTATTCCAGGACCCAAAACAGGGAGCAGGGGCTGGGAGAGGAGGTGCACGGGACGAGGGGCGCTCCCCTCGCAAGTAGCACACCCTGAGAGCTCCCTGAGAGTCCCCTGCCATGCCCAGTCTGTTGCCTCAGTCTCCATGAAGAGAAGGCATATCACGTGTGAAAGGTTGGAATCAACACTTTACCCTCTAGGTGAGTTATTTCTGAAATTCATTTTAGAAGAGCAGACCATCAAAAGCTGCTAGGCTTTGAGCACACCTTCAAACTCCGGGAGCTCTGGGCACTGGCTTCCACGGGGCCGGGGCGCCTCCTGCCGGCCGCTGACCCCGGGGAGCCCTCGCTCGCCCCGCGCTTCCGACGCCGCTACCCCGGCACCCCGACTCCTCCTGCCCTCCTCTCTTCGCTCTGAAAACGCCTCCGGGACTTGGCATTCTATGGCGCCCCAAGTTCTGCGCAAACCAACTGGTCTCCTGCCCCCTGGAGAGGCTCCGAGCTCTGGGGTAGTGTGCGGATGCCTGGGGAAGGTGAGCAGGGGGTGCAGCTTGCTTTGAGCAGCGGGGAGCAGGGCGCCAACGGCAGCGAAGAAAGCGGGAAGGTTCAGACAGCTCCTTTCTTTCCCCATGCTTGAACACCTTGGAAGGCACTAACCTCCTCCACCCCTGAGCCCAGTCCTTTCCGGAGCTCTGGTTTCTAATAGTTGGTAGTTCTGGCACGAAAACCTGGGGCTTGAATGTTGAATGGTGTTAAATTGCTCCCTGAGTTGTCTCTCCAGGAACAAGTTCCCGGAGAACTCGGTCTGCCAACAGATGTTTCCACCAACACCCCCACCCCTTTAGTTTAAACTTCGCCAAAGCCAAGAGGCCCGCGGAGCTCTCCTTTGCCCATCTGCCCCGCGCGCTCTCCTTTCTGCTAAGTCCCACGGGTTTCTGCAGTGAAGCTGCTGTCTGACCGGGGACTGCTTGAGGTTAGCTCGCTGGTATCACTCCTGGCGGCAAAAGGGGCTTATGACTTCCTCCTAGAAGAAGACCTCAGGTCTTCTAGGCCTTGGCTTGGTTGGGATGTCCTGGGTCCCCTAGTAAAACCTCTCCTGCAGCTCTCTCTGTCAAATGAAGCTAGCCTGCGCCGAGCGGACATTAACAAAGCGATCTCAACTTTCCTAAGTGAGGAAGTATCCCCAAAGCATAAAATAATAAAAGTCCCATTCAGCTGATCAATATTCCAATGCCTACAGCCCTTCAGAGAATGAATGGATATCCAGGAGAGGCTTTGCCCAGAGTTTCCCAGCAGGCACAGAGCATTAGGAGGCAGACATGGGGCAGAGGAGATAATAAGGCGACAACACAGTCTTGGGTAAATACACATCTTTAAGTTCAAATAAGACTTTTAGTCAGTAAAAGTCAGATGCCCCCCCTCACCCCTTATTCACAGGTGCAATTCTGTTTGCGAATCCTTAGTCCCCATGAAGAGAAGGCATAGCACGTGTGAAAGGTTGTAATCAACACTTTACACTTCAGGTAGGTGGTGATTTCTGAAATTTATTTTATAAGATCAGACCATCAAAATCTGTCCGCTAGGCTTTAAACACACCTTCGAAGGCTCTCATGCTGGCTTTTATAGTTGATGGTCAAAACAGTTGTCTATGGAGAGGACAACTGAAAAGGCAATTAGCTCAGAACACCTTGTCAAAGGACATGTATGTAAAAGAAGGAAGAAGGACTGAGTGTGTCTCAGTCACCTGCAAAAGCACAGGAGAGTGCTGAGAAAAAGGGGGACCAGATGCAGCAGCATTTTGAGTTTAATGAGCTGGGCACCTGCACACAGTCTACTTCTCTGCAAGGTCCCCTGGAAAAGATGAGACATAAATAAAAGATAAGTGATGAAATAAAATGGAATTAAGTAAATATGATGCGATAACCTTGCTTGTGTTTGGGTAGTAGATCTTCAAACCACATTTTTTTTTTGGCAGTATGGTTGTATCATTTTATATCATTATTATTTTTATTATTATACTCTTATTATTTTATGGTGAAAAGTGTCATATGAATAGTTATGTGTTATGTTAAGGAAACTTTGGCAAAATGACTTGTATAAATATTCACTCAGATCAGAGAATATACTATCCAAACTCATGAAGGGTTTGAGTTCTGAAAAATAAACAAGTATTATTTTGTCTTACTGGTATCAGAGGATGGACTCTGCTCTATCTTGACTTGAGGGAGGAAGAGAAGAAATACAGGAATGCCTGTGATTTCATGACAAGCACAGGTAGTGACTTCCCAGCGTGGTCCCTGCACCTGGCTTCATAGAAGAAGGAAGCCTCCTGCCCTCCAGGGGGTGTCAAGATAAAATGAATTTGGCTCACAGATCCCTTTCTTTATGCAGGTAGAATGTGATTGGTGTTTACAAAGTTGGGCTTCAGTTATAATCGTTTATCTTTCATGGTCCTTCTCAGTGGTTGAGCTGAGCAGTTGCTGACCCCACTCCCGTTGGTGCCAGGTTTTTGAAGAAAGCCAGGGCTCTCCCCATTCAGGTCCAGGGTTTGACAAATTATTTCTGGTATAGACATGGCATCCTGTTCACCAATCTTGTGTTTTTAGCACATTTCTGGTATGTGGCACTATTATAGTAGGTAATTAAAATAATTGGAAGAGATAAAAATAAAGAAATGACAACTTTTAGTTACAGTAATAACATGCCAATGTGAATAAGAATAAATCCCTCTTTGAGGGATGCTTAACTTAGATGCATCTGCATTTGTGGCCCCAGGAGCTATTTCATACCTTTGGGTGTTATTCTTGGGTGAAATTTTAGTTATTCCCGACAAAAAAGGAAGCAGTAAACTCCATGAAGGGCAGGAGTCATGGAGAACCAGTCACAGCTGCCTGAAGAATCAGCCCCTGGGATTCCTTCTTAGGAATCCTTTGTGTTACCCAGGGAGATGATAGGGAAGCTGTCCCACCAGCTCCAGGAGTCACTGGTTGCTTACTAAACACAGCGCTTTCCATGAGTAAGGCAGGAGGCAGTGATGATAGGTGTAGAGTTCAGCAGAAGTCACACACCTTGGATTTTGATGCTTCTATCACAGTTGTTTGTTTCTTGTTTTCGGTGCTATAGGGGCTCTGCATGAGCACACAAGAACTATATAAAACTTGCTCTAATATTAAGCAGTGACAACAAAGGGGAGTTTACATTTTTGGGGCATTATTTAATGAGCACTTACTATATGGGAGGGGGTACAAGCAAAGCCACTGTGCTTATAGAGACTAAGTCTGTTTTTCTCTTTGATTTCTCCTTTTCTCCCCTCTTCTGTTTTCAAGCCTTCTTCCAACTGTGAAGCCAGCATTTCCAAGTGCTAGAATCCCATCCCAGAGGGAAATTCTACATTTCGTCATTCGAAAATAGCCTGTCTTCTACTGGAGGTGGACTAAAATCCAAGGTGAAGTATTCTGCCTCCTTCTACCCAGAAGCAACAGGAAGACCAAGAGCCCAACTCTGCCCTGATCAGCATGATGTCAGTAGAATAGCTCTAGGTAAAGCCGGACAAGGAGCACTGTGATTGCCCAGTTCTGTCCTACTGGCATTACAATTTCTCTGTACCATCAGGGTGATGCTAGAGGCTTCTGCCTTTGGGAGGAGGAAGGATACAGGAAATGCTAGTGCTAGTGGTTAGTGCTGGCTGGGGAGGCTTGTCTGCTCCTGCACGCGGTGGACACACAACTCTTTCAGTGTTAGTAATACACGTCTGCGTTATTCAGTGCTCTGTCAGTTTTA